CAATTGTTTTCGATAAACCAGCATTTGTATTCAATGCAGTGCCAGTTGTGGTTACAGTTGTATCACGATCTGATTGAACCTTTAAATCACGATCACCAATACCAAGAGACGATAGATTTTCACTAGGAGTCTGCTCTACACCGAATTGTTGTTCAACGGTCGAAATTTCTTAAGATAAAACAGAATTTGAAGGTTAATGAAGGCTGAAGAGATCATCCGAACAAGAGATTTGTGTTCATTAATCAAGAGAAGTACATTTGCCTATGATTGTTTAAAAAATGTGTCTCATACCATCCAATTTCTTTGTTGTATCATCTTCTTTTTCTTTCGTTAATCGTTCTTCTTCGACACGTTTAATAACATCTAAAAAGAAATAAAATAGATCATGATCATTTTTTAAACTTCAAAAGATCAATACAGACCATCATAAAATTTTTGTAATTCAGCTGGTAGCTTATCTCCAGCTGGTCTTGTTGGCAATAGAATATTATTGTATTCATCATAACCGGGCAATAAACGAAGAATCTGAATGAGAAAGTATTTATTTTATAATTCGAATTCAAGATTTTTTTTCACATAACAAACTAAAAATAAATTTGCTCACCTTTTCTTCTTCAAGAAATTGTTTATCGAATTCAAGATTATATATTTCAATGGGAAATGGACATGTATTTTTAATAACAATATCTTGTTCATCACCTTGACTATGAGTTAAAATAGGATTAAATATGATTGATGTCGTTGGTATAAATTGATTTTCTTTTATTTGACCGATAACAATATTGGGTTCTAGTCCACTACCACGACAAATAATCATTATACGTTGACTACTTTGATTTATACGTAATATAACTCGATTTTCATAATTTTGCTAGAATGACATAGAAAAATAAATAATATTGAAATTAAACATTAGTTAAATTAAAAAAAATACCTCTTCTGTTGGCATAAATTTAATTTGAATATTGACACGTTGTTGTGCTGGAAGAACGCCATTAGATGGTAATACTTCAAATATACGAGGTGTTATTTGTTTTTTCTTCGTTGAACTTGTCGTGCGACGATATGAACGAGTGATGGCTTTACTTGGACGCTCTTGCATATCTTCCTATAAAGAAAAGTAATTATTTATAATCAATCGTATGCCAGGAGAATGTACCGTTGTGCTGGCATCTAGATAAAATTTACTGTTTCATTCGCGTAGACATTAACAGATGAGTGCAAGAAAATGATTTAGTATTTGGAAAAAGATACAAAAATTGAAATGAAATATGTTTTAACTATCGTAAAACGAAACGGCCTAGAGAAGAAAATTGAACTTGCTATTGACAATTTCGACTTATCTTCGTCAGATACACGATGTGTAACCAGTAGGCAACAAGCGTCTGCTCCGTTTTTTATTATTACCCCTGGATACGCTGCAATCCATTCACATCGTATTTCTTTTGGATTTTTTAGTTGAATTGTGGCTATTTTGCATTCTCCACATTTCACTATTCCGAAATCGAGTGTATCATTTGATACATGTAAATCTGGCATTGTTACATTTGCTTTTAATCGCAAGCGAAATGCTGGGCCATTACTCACCTAAAATATGATTGATCTAGAGTGCTAATTCGAAAATGAATAAAACAACTTACTTCAACGGGTACTCTACATTCAACCTCACCCAAACCTAAATTAGCTCCTCTCGGGTCAAATGTTACTGTTAGCACTATCGTCTCATTTGATGGTAAATTTTTAACGTGATCACAATCGAACGAAAATCCAGACTTATTTAAATATGAACGATCAAGATGAAATGTAATACTACTATCCGTTGGATTTTTTATATGAAATTGTTTATCTCTAACTGTGCCCAAAATAACATAGCCAAAATCGATCAAATAATCTGGTAATATTATTTTATTGCGATGTTGTTTAATGAGTGACGCTGTACTTGAATGTAGTGACGCACTTAAACCCAAATTGGATACAGACATATGATTATCAGCTATTGTGCGATTTTTAAATAATTGTCTATTGGAATCACGATGACCAACACTTTCTAAAAGAACAAAATATAAAATAATCGACTGTTTGTACTTCTTCAATCATCTCGTACCATGTTCATGTGTGGAAGTAGAGGCGATGCTCTCCTCTTCATCTGCTATAATTTGTTCACTCGTTAAATGATCAAGTGCAGCACCAGTTACTCGTATTTTGTCTGATTCATTCTTTTTAACTTTTTGTTCATCTTCCATTGTAGGAAGGTTTTCCATTGACTGCCGTTGCTCATTATTAATGACAAATTTTTGTACAACTAAAATATCGAATTGTCGTTGTACTTCTGCTGATTGTAAATCCTCTTCTTTTGTTGTTGCTGACGGTTGTCGTCTATCTATTGACATCGATAATACCGATCTTTCAGAGTCTGGTTTATCTTCTGTTAAATCTAGTCTCATATCGTCAATCACAATTGAAGGTGGTTGATCGAGTGAATGAGGGGGATTTGCTTGTTTTCTTGCGTCTTCAAATAGTTGTTGTTGCTCATCATTTGTTTCATCAATATATCTTGGCAAATCTAACTGTAAACGACAAAACATTCCTCGACCGATTAGATGGATTAAATCTGGTTGAAAGTGGCCAACTTGTAAATAGAGTGTACGATAAAATTGTTCTGGTATGTTTGGAGTAAATTTAATTTGAATCGTGTTTGTTGAATATTGCTCACACACACCCGATTCTGGTATTATTTCAATTTTAGCAGGATCTTTCAGCATATTCATACTTGATAAATTTGAAACAGAACGTAGTAAACTTCTATCATTCATATTTGTTAACGGTACTTTTGATATCGTGACCGGATGGTGTTCCATATCGGGATAAATAAAACGGAAATCAATTGGTGTACAACTTTCATTAGTTATCGAGATCGTTTTTGTTGCCGTTTTATCAAAATGCACATCGCCAAAATCGAGTTCATGCGTATCTAATTTATAAGCCATGTAAGATGCTTGACCGTTAAGAAGAAGTTCATAGACCGGACCATTTTCAACTTGACAGATCGCTTTGACATTGACAATTATACCAGGATGACCATAAAAACGAATCGCAGTCTTTTCTACTTCGCTAAAATATAATAAAACTATATATATAAAAACATCTATTTTAACATAATCTACATACCCTGGCTGTAGTGTTCCAAAAAATGGTGATATATCAAATATTTCTTCTAGTTTCGGTATCGATGTGGCATACTTCATTATATCTGTACTTTGTTGATCATCAATCGGTTCTTGTTGTGTTGGCCAAGGTTCACTTTGTATCTGTAATGAATTTTCGTCTACATCTTGCGATTTTGTAATTGATTGTGGTTGAGGAACTATGGTTAAATTTTTCTCGGGTTCAATAACAAACGCCCACAAATATTTAACTGGTAATGGACTGGTATTTACAACCGATATGTAACGAGTGACTTCTGTACCATTTAATATACAGCCAAAATTAATTTCTTTATGTTCAATCAATAAATTTGGATAATGAACCTCTCCATGTAAATTGATTGTATTCTAAATAAAATATTAATAAACTGAATTTAGCCTATCATCAACAACGACAACTAACGAGGGAACCTATTTAACTGTCCAATCGCTTTTTTCACCAAATCTAGTAGAATGTAGGTTATCTATCACACTGACTCCGAATATTTATATGAGACGGGCTGCTAGGCCTTTCTCGAGCGGTTTTCTAGAAAGCTCGGAAATTTTCCAAACTTTCTCTTAATACGTCACAATTGTAGCCCACGAAATTTCGATCAAAATGAGACATCGCCCACCTCTACGTGATCTTTCTTTGCAAAGTTATGGAATTTATAAGAAAAGCCCAAAAATGTTCATTGTCAGCGCAAAGTTTCAGAGAGAAAAAGGAAAAATGAGTTTTGCGCTTTTCTTGTAAATTCCAGAACTTTGCAAAGAAAGATCATGTAGAGGTGGGAGATGTCTCATTTTGATCAGAATTTTGTGGGCTGCAATCATGACGTGTTAGGAGAAAGTTTTGAGATTTTCTGAGGCTTCTAGAAAACTAGTTTTCCAGAAAACCGCTCGAGAAAGGCCTAGCAGCCTGTCTCATATAGATATTCGGAGTTAGCGTGGTCAATAACCTACATTCTACTAGATTTGGTGAAAAAAGCGATTAGACAGTTAGATAGGTTCCCTTGTAAGTGTATAATTATGTCATCGACTTTTTGCAAAAGTAGATATAAAGTATATTTATAATTTATTCTTACCGTAAAACTATGTTCACTATATGTGAATGTTAATTTATCATCAACTTTCCATGATATTTCTTTTGTGTTTGCATTTGGATCAAAATAAATACGTTCAACATAACTCATACCCGTTAATATTTTTAACCGTTTCGTTAACACATATCCGTTTGGTATTACAATTGAGTTACCATTCTCATAAATTGAATTATCGTTTGGCATTATAGACAATTCAAGTTTTGATTGTTGTACTTGTTGTGAATCTTGTTGGTCTTCATCCAATAGCATTTTATCTGGTTCTTCCAATAGAAATGGGTATTTTACTGATAAATATGCATTCAAATCAATTGCTGAAATATTTGAGAATGTCAAATCTTTTTCTATCGGTTTTACATCAGTTTGACCGTCATTTTCTACTCGAAAATTTAAATCTGTTTTTGAGAATGACATTAATGGTTCAATGAACTCGCATTGAATATTTAATGATAATAATTTATCACGACCGGTAGATCGGCCAATAATAGCTAAGCATGTATAGTTTTCTTCAATAAATTTTGACTTAGAAGAATAACCTGATATTGTTAATGTTTTTGTTTCACCAGGTAAAAATTCTAAACGTTCCGGTTCAATACGAAATATTCGTTCAAGAGCTTTTTCAGCATCTTTTTCCAGTTCTTTTTTGGATTTTCGAATATTATACGCCGATGTTTGATCTGATGCATGGATGAAATGAACGGCTAATTGACGACGACCACGATTTGTAAATTGAATTTTTTGTGTAATAGGTGTACCAACAAATTTAGAACCTAAATCAAGATGGGGAAAAATTTTGATATCCGACACAATTAAAGCACCAGTTCCATTAGCCGATAAGGGAATTATTCGTGACGAACTATTTTCTACATGAATTGTCAATTGTTCGTTAAATCTAAAACGAGAAAAAAATGACATTTGTACTTAAATTGACGGATAAGAGAGAAAAAAAACACATTATTTATCATAGTAAACCATGTAAAACTCAAAAACTTACTTCATTCTATCATTTAAGTATGCTGTGACTTTGAGTTCTAACGTTGATTTGGGATCAACAACTCCATTTTGTGGTTCACATTTGAATTGTGATTGCTTTTTATCAAATTCACAATAAAAAATCGCTGGTATTGGTGATTCGTTTGATAGAACTAATATTTGTTCATTTTCTTCTAATACAGGTATTGTACCCCATTTCAATTCATTTGGTTCAATAAAAAGCACTGGTCCTGTACCAGTGGTTGTTATTTGTAATTCTAATGTAGTATCTCGTACTCCAACACGATTTATCTCGATCTTTTCCGTTATATCTCCTAAACGTTTAACAGTTATTATTAATTCTACGTCTTTGGTTGAATTTGGTTCAATCGTTCCTTCAGCATCCATTGTCCGAAATTCTAAACAACCTGTTTTTGGAAATATGAATTGATATCGCATTGGTAATGACGTTGGATTTTGTAAATGAACATGACGTTCATACGGATTATTTATAAAACAACGTCCCAAATCAATGAGATCATCACGCAAAGTTATACGAGGAACTGTGCTTCTGAACAAAAAGACAGGCAGTTAGAGTCAAGAAAATTTTTTGTATTAGTCATAATATAATTTGTCTGTAAAATATATAGTGACAATGATGAGATCTATATGGTACATTCATAATCAAAAAGCAACTTCTTTTTTAGAATCGTATAACTATAGTTATATACATGTAGTCGAACTTACTTGGCTGTAACAGGCAATGAGAACACATTTTTTCCAACTCCTTCAATGTCAACGTTCAATAGAGTGTCGTATTTTTGTACAGATTTTGGTGTAAAATCGACATATATTTTCATATCACTTTGTGGAGGAATGATTCCTTTAGATGGTCTAATATGAAATTCTCTGTGTACATTATTGTCGTCGTCATCCTCACTATCCGTATCACTGTCATTATTTGCTCTACTTTTGGAATATTCATGAGCTATTTTCAAATGAAATGGCATTTGTACTAATGAAGTATTATATAAATGAAAACCTAATGTTGATTGAAATCCGTATGATACAAGACCAAATTTTAATGATGGTTGATCAAAATGAAATGTAGGTCCAATCACTGAGCCACTTATCTCAACTACCAACGGTTTGAGATTTCCATCAATCTGAAATAAAACGGATTCTTTAAATTCTCCTAATTGGTCACTTCGGAATGTTATTTGTATCGCTTGATAATTATCGACAGGTATTACACCATGACTCGGTTCCAATTGAAAACATCGCCCAAACTTTGTTTCAATTGGGTCAATATGATAGGGTGCATCGATATAACCTTTATTAGCAAGAATAACTTCATACATGTGGGTTGAACCAACAAACACACATCCAATTTCTAATGTTTCAAAAGAAGCGCTTAATTTTGGTCCATCACCGGTGCCACACAGTTGGAGAGGTAAACGTTGTTCACGTCCAACCAAATCTAACCAGGCTGTACGATTGTACAATTGAGCTACATCCGGTTTAAACAATATCTGAATTTCAATAAAAGAATTAGGCCATATGTCACCTTCTAATGGTTCAATACGAAATGTTTGATCATTGAATAAATATGTTTCATTCGTTAATTGACGACGATGATTTATAAATGTACGTTGAATTAATACAGTATAATCAAATGGTACAGTCGTTTCCTGAGTGCTCGCTAGAAATTAGAATATCATCAAATACCTAGCACGACGAAACTTATAATACTCCTATAAGTATCGAATGTTTAGTGTTATAAATTGGTAGAAAGAGAAACCTGCGATAAGCTTATAAGTTATTGCAACTTTGATCAAGTGATCTAGACAAAGAAAGATAGATCTAAATCAGTCGACCACTTCTGTATCTACTCTTCGCTCGTTCTCTGCATAATTTTGAAAAAGATTATTTAGCATCTGAAAAAGCATTAAAATTTTGACTGAACATTCCCGTTACGCCTTATACCTGTCGCCTTCGTGCAACTCTTTATGATATTACGATACAGGGCCTTAAGCATTCTCCTACAAGTCTTAAAACGTCGTCCACAAACACATTGTGTTTTCTCCATTCAGAACAGTTCGTATTTCTCAAAGTTCTTCAACCAGAAAATGCAGGAGAATTCGGGTTGGTTTTGAACTGAAGCTAACATTTATGACTACAACATTTGTGAAAATCAGAACAGGCCCATTTTAACCCCTGTTGTGATGCTTTCTTGTGAAGAGTGACAGATAGAAACAAAAAGGTTTTTGGCGTCATACTCGTGACATGGCCTTAAAATTTGATGGAGATAGGGCTGATATTTCAGGAGATGATTTTTTCCACGGGAGTTAGAGTTCACTGACTGTTCTTGATCTCAGGAATTTTAGAGGTTTTAACTAAAGATAAGACACTGATTTCCAGTCAAGGCAATCATTTTATACATTCGAGTTCTCGGCATATATATTAACTTTTCAGCACAGCATGCCAGCGAAACACAATCTTTTCCACTTTGTCGAAAATGATGAAAAATATGTTTTTATTCTAACCGTTCAATTTTTGTATAGCATTTATTTCATCGTCTGATATTGCATGTAATTGTTTTAATTTTTGTTGTTCTTCTTCTCTTTCGGTTGAATATTGTTTCCATTGGTAATGAACGAGTTGATCACTGTAATTATTTATTTTAATTGTACGCTGGTTTGTCATGGTTATATGAGTATTCTCAAAATTAACAGACTTTTTATCTAATCGAACATTAATATCTTGAGAAACACCATATAGATGAACGTAAATTTTCTCTCCTGAAAACAACAACTCATATTTTAGAATTAAACAAAGATATTTTCTATGCTATTACCTGTGTCATATGCAACAATCATTTCATCTTTAATTTCTCCATTCACAGTTGGTTTAAAATCAACAGTTACCTGCATACTTTCACCAACCGGTAATATACCATTTTCAGGTGATACATAATAGGGTCTAAAAACATAAAATAAGATGAAAAGACACTCTAATAACACTATAACGAGAATCATACTTGTTCGCTTGCAATACAAATCGAGCTTCTCTCGTACCCACATTTCGTACAAACAACACTTTACTGTTTGTACTTTTTACGGCTGTTGTTGGAAATGTAACCTCATCCGGAAAATCAAGAATAGCACGTGAACCGATTGCTCGGATCGGAATTAAAAACTTTTCACGTTCAGTTGCTATGATGATTTCATGAGTGTAATCCTAAACATATTTAAATCATTTGTGCCATGCTTTCAAAATGGATACAATATTACTTAATGACACATAAGAGAAAGCTTTCGCGTATATATTTCAAAGAGAGGACAAAATTGTACGCAGATAATGAAATTATACTGTTAATGTAATGACTCTCGTATTGAGAAACGATATAAGGTGGACTGATTAGATAATCAGTCTATTAGTACGCTAAAAAATAGGCTTGACGTTAACAGACTATTATGTGTCATTATCTTTTGCAAAGATAAAAAAATTAATAAATACCCTTTGCTCTTCTGGTATAAATTGTATTTTGTAAACAATGGCTACTCCTGGTGCCACTTTGTGCGCTGCGTTAGGTGGCGCAATAATTTTAAAATAGGGTGTGTCTACTTGTGTCACTTTAACAGCACGTGCAACCTAGATGTAAACATGAAAAACAAATGAAACATGTTTTGTCTGTAAATTTCCTTTTTACTTTATCATTGTTTCTTAATAAAAGTGGTACATCGTAGGTCTTAAATGGTTCAAATTTTTGAAAAACAATATCTGACGGATAAGGCTGAAATAAGGGTTCATCGATCTCTACTTTTGATGTCTACAAATAAAATGCATTATATTAACAAGTTAATGTAAATAGACAATAAATTAATATTCACCGTTTGCAATGTTGTTTCAGACATATCCGATAACGCGATAATTTTTGGAATGTACATTTCGCGTGTGTTGTACAATTTTTGTTGCGTATCAAGTGACATTTCTTTGAGAAATGTTGACGGTGTAAACTAGAAATGGTTACAAAGATAGTTTAAATAAGTTTATTCACCGAGATTCGACGTACTTTTTGTTCTGCTTTTGGTCCTCTACAAAGGGTTGGGTTTCTTGGTGCAACAACCTTGCTTTGGTAATTGGTTTGCATTGAGATGCCAACATCTCCACCGCTTCTAGATTCAGACATCTGCAAAGATTAAGGAATCAAATAGGAACAACAAGATGGAAGCAAGAGCTGACGGATCTTCTCTGATGCTTACTGGATGACCCATCACACGTTGTGTTTTCAATCTCCCACGTGTGAACACTCTTAGTACGAAGCTTGGACTTCGAAATATGAGAAGCAGGAGTCGTGGGTCGTCTAAAAACGTTTCCTCAAAGATCTTACGTACAGACTTAAGTCAGAACTTCGACTTAAATCTATGAAAGAATGACTAAAGTTTATACTGGCTTGTGACAAGTACAGAAGAGTCTCAAGTAACTACTGAAAAACGTCAGCACACGTTAGAAAAGATATTAACTAAGTTGATATACTTAACAGCATCGATGGAACGCCCTCGGGTGCGCATCCATTAAATTACACTATACTTCGTATCTCAAATTAGGCAGCTGAGAGTCTGAATCTACCGGAGAATGTTAACGAAGTCATTTTGAGAAGAGAAAGGATGCGAGGATTAAAACTATACAGTAGATCATAAAGCTAAACGGCAGGGGGGCTATTGCTCAATGAAATGTTTCATCTGAAGAGACAGGTAACTAACAAACATACAGTTCTCGCACCATGTCAGAATCTATCGACTGAATGTAGGACAGCGAAGCCTCTATGATATATTGAACTACGTTGGACCTAATGCATTGTACTTGCAAGACCTGCAGTTGCCGTTTATAATGAAATACAAGTTAAAGTTGAATTAAAAACAATACGATTATATTAAGTCCATTAAGCGATAGATGTCGCTACTTCTGGATCCCTTTGCTGAGACAGAATTTAGCGTGTAAAGAGAGTTGACTAAGAAAGTAGAAGAAATATTATATTCTCTTTAGTATAGTCTTTTTCTTACTCATTCAAAAAGTATTTTACTTATTAGAGGTTGTACAGAATGATAATCATAAAGAATTCATAATCATGACCCTTTCAAAGTAATTTACAACGGAGAGATGCCATCCAAGTGTTGTAATTACATTCTCCATTATTTGTTGTTGAACTGGTGAAGGACACAACTTTTTTGCGAAATTAACTCTTTTCCCTATTAATAAATAGATAAATAATTAATAATTAAATAAATAATAATTTTTTGTCTGACTGTACAAAAAGATACGTATCTTTTTATAACGTACTACACAGAACTATGTGTTCATGAGAAATTAAAGAAAACAAAGCATTTGCTCAAAAGGGAATTAACTGGTGTTGTAAAAACGGATCGTTCTGATCTCGAAGATAAAAGAGGAAGTGTATTGCGTTGCTCGATGATCAACATACGGGCAGATTCCTGTCCGATCCAATACAAATGAACTGCATAGACAAACATAGACGAAGTGTTGAGTTAAATGGTCATATACTTGCCTATATCGTAATTTTCAACTCAAACTGTAAACGTATGGAAAACACTCCAAAGAGGAATTTGTTCACGCTCAAGTCCGCTGTACTGGCTTATTTTTTATATAATAACGATCTCTGATCGTGGCCTAGTCACGAAAGACTGTCTTAGAGTATTCAGCACCTCACCCACCCACACTAAATATTTCACCCATATCCGTAACAATCTTTGAGTTATTCACTGAATCTGCTTAAGATTTTGCAAATTTTTCAAGAAAGATCACATTTTCTTTAGTGGTTTATTTTGTCTCATCTTATAATCGAAAAAATTTGAGAAGTTCAGTCCTATTTACCAAATTCCTGGTATGCCCCTAATCTTTAACTATTGTATTTCGTCCAATTAGGTTGAATGACTAAATGTTTATTATTTAGATTAGCTTCATATATATATAATCGAAACAGTCAGAATACCAAGCAGTTATTGTGTAGACTTTTTGTTAGTTCTAAGACAATAGATCGCTATTATATTACTAGTTCATTTTTCCCCTTAAAGAATTAATCCTTTTAAAAAGTAACAACATGGTGTTTGTCAGTGATAGCTGATTTACATAAAATCTTCCTTTGCCAATATGTATCCATTCTTTGTATTTTTTTTGAAATTTCTATCATATAGCAATTGTTTGATTATCCATCGTTATCCATGCGTTTACTACAATACTATGCTTGCTTGATTCCGCATCATAGTCGTTTTAGTAATGGAGTGATATCTACGTCTGGATCGTCAGTGTTGTAGCTTTTACAAAATAAAGTATTGTATTTTTGGAGTAGTTTACATAGTTTACATTTGTTTGTAGTTGCAACCATATGTTACATTGTTCATTTATAATTTTATGTACATGCAGTTTAATCTGGTAATAAAAGCTTTCTAATAACATTATCTTTACAAACACCATCAATAAACTCTTCACTTGATAATCTATCATCCATATCACGATCTAATGCCTCCATAATCATTTGAACGCGATACTCTGGAGTATTTTCTAATGCTCGTCTATCGACATTTAACATATCAAATATTGCCTAGAGATGAACAATAAGTCGTTTCATCGAAAAAAAAAGTAATAAAAGAGTTAAACTTACATCTAGCATTTTTATCATCTCATTTCTATCTATGTATCCGTTGCGATCAGTGTCATCTAAAAGAAAAAGAAAACATTTGTAGGGAGATATTCTTGAGTACAGTTATAGAACTAATAGGACTATTCTCTTACACATATTAAATATCCATGTAATTCTTTCACGATCTGTACTGTGCCTACCAGCAATTGAGAATGCAATCAAAAACTCACTGAAATCTGAAATAAAGAATACGATGAAGTAAAGCGATCTTCTTCACTTTCAGTTATTATCTACAACAAGAAACAGAATGAGTATGAATATATTTTTAGAGAATGAAGAAGGCAGACGAGAACTATTCTCTTTATCATTCTGAGGCTAAAAGTTTAGCCATCTTTCTATAAAAATTAAACTTCAAAATCTTGCCCCAGAGTAACATAGTAAACGGTTATTTGGGCAAGTTGCTATTTTTCCTATACCAGAATTCATTTTTAAATATTTCTTATACATAAGAAATAGCTTAGAGTATTCTCTCGAGTACGCAAAGCCGATGTTGTCATTTATCATGGTTCGACCATGGTTTAGACCATCAATCCGATCAAGTTGAAATATTCAGAATACACTTAAATTACTTGTTTTGACTAACGGACAGTAGAAAGCTCTCAATCCAAAACTACTTTTACTTTATTAAACAATTTTTCAAAAAATTACTCTCTAAAAAAAAAGGCGTACACTAATAAATCAAAGGGTTTATGACAGTCGATAATAAACTCAAAAAGGTTGCTTTTCTGTTTTAATGAATCTATAAAGATTTATGGGCAGAATAAAAGCTTTATGAAAAAAATTAAAGATTTACTCGCATTCATAAACCCAAGGGATTTACTAAATAGGCTTTCAAATGTCTGTGCAATTGGGTTAGATTGTAGATAAAGCATGAATGCTTTATTTTTTGTACATAGTGGATTTTTATAGATTGAAGTTATGAATAAACTTTTTATAGTTTACTACAGTCTTGTTTTATGACTTTTAGCCCTTACATAATTTGCTGTTCATTACGAGTATCGGAATCAATGTCGAAGTCGAAAAAATTAACTATTCAAATTTTGTATTTTTTATACCACTCAATACATAGTATGTTGTGATTTCACTCATCCGTCTTCATTATTAAAAGTTCGTTCTGTACTTTCTTCGATCTTATTAGAGAATCTATAGATTCACTTGTGATTCTAAAGATTCTCTAGGGATTCTGCAGAATTGCTAAGTCTGTACTTCCTTCATAACAGACCTATATTCATTCTATTTCTTTTATAGATAACAGATATATATGTAGCGAAATATCAAATACATTTTCTTGTTTTTTTGTGATTATTATATCTAACATATTCCGGCCCTAGTGAATGATTTTTCAGGCTAAAGAACGTGACAGTTTAATTTTATAATGATTAGCATAAGTATAATGGTTCCGTCATTCTTTAAATCACGAATGTCAATGAAAATATTAGGTAATGGCCAGACATATTAACACATTAAGCGCTAATAAAATGTAATAGAGAGAACAACTTTATCACTCACCAATATAGCCACTTCTATCTTTATCAAACGCTCGAAAAACATATTGGCTATAGGTTCTTGCTCCTCCAGCATCAGGATATAAATCAGAATAGAATCGAATAAACTGTTCTTTGTTCAATTTTCCACTGGGACAATCTAAAAATACGACGCATTCAAATGAGTTACACAAAAGTTTTTATTACCTTGCAGCCTCTAACAGTATAAGGCAGAATTTCATACAGTAAAAATATATCCATTTATACTACGGAAGTGTTTAAGATTAAAAATAGCGAGAAATTTGCAAGACAGAAGGATGATTTCAACCTGTGTTGATGAGTTGTGGCTAAAAATGTTTTTTAGTACTGAACGGAGCTCTCAAAGGACTGAACTGGAAAGTTTTTGAGTTCATGGACTAGGACTGAGCTGGAATTAAAAAAACGAAAGTCGAAAACAAGCGAAACAAAAAAACGAAGTGTCAAGAAAAACCGGTGAGAAACGTGTTGTTTTTGTGTTTTGAACACCACTGCAACTCTAAGGCTCATAAATGTGTATGTACAGATGTCTTTTTTCGAATGGATCCGACTCTACACATGTCATCTAGAATGGCCGTTTTACGAACGTCAATGATTATTCTACAAATGTAAGCGATTTTTAAGACTAACACCAGTCGTAATATATGAACCGCAAACTTCACCTGGAAAAGTCTTGGAAGCTAAACAAAGAAAAAAGTTTCAAATGGACGCGGTCTGGACTAGCCTCCAAAGTTGAAGTCTACGTACCGGTCTGAAAAGTTTGAGTCCATATGGGGCTCTGATACTGAGCTCGTTGTCCTGAGGATTGCATCTACAAAAGAGCGGAGCTGCTTATCCTCAAAAGAAGCTCAAACTGGTGAATCCGGTTAACTAGCACAAATGCATAATTCAAGTCGTAGTGGAGTAAAGTCGCGGATGCGATAAATCAACCGATAGACTAAAGTCAAGAAAAACTAGTTTTTTTATAGATCGAGCTGATAAGGGAATCCGTCGAAATTCGTAGTGGTGAATCTACCGAAGTTAGTGGTGAACTTTTCGAAAAGGCAACATAGTTTCTATTTTTCATTATTCTCAGGCAACTTGAACAATACTCCGATCTATGATATACTTAAATTTTTTTCCTTCGCTGTTATCGGTGAAAATATTCATCACTATGAATTTTGACGGCTTTCCTAAGAAACATATCAATAATAGTAATATTGCAGTTATTAGCATTAGACGGGCTTTAATTGCATCAAATTTTGTACAACGTTGTCACTTCTGGTACAAAAAAGTGAACTGCAGTAAAAAATGTGTACTATGTTGATTGTTTCTTATTAAAACTCTGATACTCTGAGGACAACATTTTACTCTATGTGATTCTATGGTCCATTTCGATGATTCATCACTAAACTAGAGTGAATTCAATTGTTCTGATGCACGAATTGTTAATGCAGTGCTTAAGATGCAAATAGATATTGAAACTTTAGAATACTTATAAAGTGTTCATTTCGATGTATTTTAACTCTCACTATCGGACACATAATGAAAACCATATAATAAATCATAACAGTTCATACTTTTTATGGTTGAAATAATACTTATCTACTTTACATCTTGTTCCTAAGTAATAAGTGTTACCTTGTATGAATGCTGCATACCAATTTTCAATATGTTCACGACCGAGGCCAGTATGTTTTTTTATCATTTGTATATCATTTTCAGTTAAAACTTTATTTGAATGTTTGGTACCCATAATGTTTCGTTCCACAATATATTACGTATAATTTGTTTAAAGCATTTTAGTTGAACAACTTAAATATAAAGAAAACATTTATCAAAAATACATATGTGAAATTTATTTATGCGGATCAGTTGTTCCGATAGTTCTCCTTAACATTCTCATTAAAACAATTAATGAATAAGTATTAGAAAAAAAAATCTTATTTTTAATTGTTTTACTTCTCATATAGTTCCACCTGACAGAAAAAATGCTTCAACATTTTTTTTTACTGATAGTAAAGACTAAAATTTATCAATAAATGAAAATTTTTGTCTTTTCGTTGTTTTTCATCATCAAATAAGCGACGAAAAAAGCAATAATAATCATAATAATGATATATTTTGTAAAAACGAAGAAAAAAATTTTTTTTGATATTTCTTTAATAGTCTAAAAAATGTCTTCCTCTTTTTCTTTTGCGTAAGTAAACTGGTACATAGATGATTTATTTTTTTTACTATAATTGATTGAAATTATGATATGATGCTATTTATTGTTAGAATGATAATAAAGATGAAATGGATGATTATATTTTTTCCTTCATCAAAAGTTTGATTACATACCAATGTTGACATCGAATGTCGGATCTATTTCCTCTTGTGCAAATTCTAACTAAAATAAAAGAATTCACATATAAACGCAAATCTATTTTTATTTTTCAGGAGGGATTACATCTATCTATAAGACATAAATGTTGAATACAAGCGATAACAATACAGGATTTTATCGCCATACAAATCTAGAAAAACTTTTAGTAATTCTGTTGGTAACTTTTCTTTCCGTTATTTAACTAACGATATAGTACATTTTCGGATGATTAAATTCTAAACGTGAAGAAATAGAAAAAATTCATACTTAGATTTATCAGAATCTAATCGAATGAACATCGATCAGTATAATTGAATGATATATTTCCATATATCATTTACTTATCTGTCACCTTTTAGTCTTGAGGATTGGCGATAGATCCTTCATGAGAGTGAAAGGAAACTGTTCGCACTCAAACTATCTCACAGTCTGAAATGAACAGCATATATTGAGAAAATAGTTTTTGATGTCGATAATGTTCGTTTAGTATTAGACAAGACATCGCACTTTTAGAGACTCTCCATTCAGTCAAAATACTAATTATTTATACATAAATCATGTACTACTCATATTTGTACATGATTCAACCGTCTTTGTTGATCCAAAAGTCATGTTAAACCATTCCATATTATTCAGCGTTTAGCGTCTTGAGTGTGACGGCTTTGTCTGTTCTTCGTTTCATATACCTCGATAGACATGTTTAGCATGTTTATCAATTTCTAGTTGTGAAAATTCACCATTATCAGAAACAATTATTGTGAGAACTATCAAGAAGTAGAACAAATTGTCAAATACTATTGTTGCACGTCCTACTTCCGAGGTTTACTTAGAAATGTTGAACAGCTATTTTTCTGATTCTGTAGATCCATTGATAAGAACATACTTTGCCTCTTCAATTATCATTTTTTTTTAGAAGAAAACATTCAAACTGCCACTTATTCTATTTTACTTCTACTTTTAGTTGTTATTTAATTTTATCATATTCATTGTATGGTCCTGTGAGTATGTTGTGATATAAGTGATTTTTTTCTTCTACATGTTATAGTTCTTTCATTTACTATTCTTACTAAATAAATAAGCGATAAAATACTTTCGCATTACCATCGTTTGTCTTCATAGAAATTTATTTGAATCGATATAAAAACTGTGCTGTAAAAACGACAGATTTCTTTTTCTTGATAGAATCTCTCTGTATCCGTGAAGCAAAAAGTTTCGTGTTTATTGAATAATTTCTTTCCAAAAAGAAATCTTCACCATCATTGTTCTAGTAAAAGTAGATAAACATATTTGAAAAACCTTGAAATACCTCATATTTTTCTATAGATATATTAATGCATATTCTCTCGATTTTACCAACAGTTTCCTTCTTTGGAACTATAATGAATGTCAGTGTACGTAACTCATATTCATACTCTGAAACTATTTCCGATTCAAACATGCTCAAATAAGTCAATTAGAACTTCCATACAATTATCATCGTGGATTGACAATATGAAATTGAGAAGTGTTTCAGTACAATGTAAAATACAATTTAACATAGAAAATTCAGAGAATATAGTATATGGGTAGTCTTTTATAGAACCAATAAGTTTTGAGAGAATTTATCAAGTCTATGGAATCATCAATAAATTGTAAAAAATGTTAGATATACATCAATGAGCATTAATTCTGAACTGAGCGAGTTTAAGTTCACTAATAACTCCCTCCCGCTTTCTTACGTCCGCCATGATCGGAAATTCGATTATTTGTATTTACTATTTTATCTAACTGATTACAACATTCAAAAAGGATGATTAATCACACTCTAACAAGCACAGATACTACTAATTACATTCGATAAGAAATTTGCCATCTGATATACAGTCCAAAGAGATTCAATGAATTCAATTACAGTATAATTGAGACTTTCTATATGTGATGAACATTCATCTTATACTGTTCTTCTTATCAATAGTCATCTCTTAATATTATTGAAGAGGCGTTAGATGATATCAGTATGGTAAAATATTTGGTAGAGCTTCTGCAGAACATAATTTCTTTTGAAAAGTCGTATTACTAACAAATTGTTCAGAAAAACAAAATAATTGTTTTGTCTGTGAGAAAAGATATTTTTGGAACATATGCAAGCATATAACTCACTTCTGAGTTCTTTACATATATCTACACTTTAAATTTGTTCTTTTCTTATTTTATGCTAATAATTGACATGATTTTTGAGCATATTCGGATCTATTGAAATAGTGTAATTGAAATCGGTTATTCATACGAAAATGTGTATCTGTAGTTCAAAGATGCTATTATAGATGTGTACGATATAATGATAAGCAGTGAAATTTAACCAGACAAATTGAAAATTTTGTTTGATAATGCCACGATTTGGCTATATTGCGAATTTCTGTTGATTACTGTTTTATATTTGCTTCATGTGTCGAGTACAAAAAGTAAAATAGCACAAATACTGAAAGCAAGCATCTCTTTCACCTGCTCTTAATTGCAGATATAAAAATAATGTTACTCGAAGAAAGGAAAGAAAGTTTCGAATGTCCTACTCATTCTTTGATTCTACCGATTAAGAAATATACGAAAGTAGAATAATCTGAATTAGCCGTCGTATTTAAGTAGGGGAGAATGATAAAAAGTCTATAAAGAGGACATGAAATCAATATATTTTCTAAGTTATTTACTATAATTTATGTATACTGACCAATTTATTGATATGTTTAATACTGAACGATGATTTGAGAAATTCATAGTACATGGGTTTCCATTTGTTAATATAATAATCTTGCGTATATTTTGTACACGGTATTTCTTTCAATCTTTCCTTTCATTCGACCTAAACGTGCGTATCGGTTAAAAATGACAATTTTTCCAACTCTAGTATAATACATAGCATTTTATGTACCCATTTGGCAGTAGAGAATACAAGATTTTTATGTTTGTCAACCGTTATCATGCGTATTACTGTTTTGATTATAATAAATATGCTATCAACAATGACAAAGCCGACATTATCAACTGTTGATAAATCAAAGTCAGATTTTGAATTTTTTCTTACATATGATCAAGATCAAATAATTAATAAAAATTTCACAATTTCGTCAAAACTGACTAATAAATATGATAAAACTCAAAAATGCAACCCTGTAATAAATAAATGTTTAGCTACACTTAGTCTACGTATGAAACTTAACAATGATGGTATGATTATTGAAGTGTGGTGCCATCCACCATCGTTATTATTGATTGTCAGTCACGATAAAACATGTATCATGAGTCATGTGGATGTCTCAAGAGAAAATACGACTATCGAAGTAACACTTAATGCTCATACTACGGGTACATTTGCTCCAATGATGAACGCTAAGTTTTATGACCATCCTTCTAATAACTTACAAGACCTATTTGGTGACGAAATTAGAGTGAAAAATTCACCGGATGAATATGAAGTAAGTCAATCGTACATACTTAATTTACACATTTAAATACGTACATTCTAAAGATTTTTCATACTTATTGTCAGATGTTTTGAATTGAGAAATTTTCTTTTTCGAATTTACGTTATATAGTAATTGATTGCAGAACATTTTACTCGACCCTTTGACAAAGCCACTTTAAGAAAAGATCGCCTCTCCTTCAGAACGTTGATTTTTTGATAAAAAATTGATCGTTTTATTTTGCAACCGTCACTGCTATACAATTAAACTTCTTTAAAAGAAAGAAGTTCAGTCTTTTTTCTGCACGATTTGTCAAAGGTAGTCACAAGATGATCCGCAGATGCCAGCCCTCAGAATCGAACTTTTTCAAAAAATCGAACCGTTCACACGCGATTTTCAATCGAAATTTTGTCGTAAATCGCCAGTTTCACCGATCTTTTTGCTGGTGAATGAACCGTTTTCTTTTGCTGTTTTTTTATGACGCTTTTCGTGTCCGCGTGAGTCGGAGTTCGGACTGGAAGATTTTTTGGTGGACTCCGACTCGAAGTTGTGTTTTTGTATTTCGAGTTCGATCGATTCAACTTTTAACATAAATGAACAAAGAAATTCACATTTTTTCAATGTTAGTATGGGATATACAGGCGCACATGTGTTACTCTCTTTAAAAATTATGCTTAAAAAATGTGTTATACGGTACACGAGACAGAAGAAATTTAAAGAACGACAACTAAAAACGTTTGAAATAGTTATTGGACTCTAAATGGACTCAGAACTCAGACTCGGTTTGCTTGCTGCATGACTTAGACTTAGCTGGGACTCGACACCGGTGAAGATAAAGAAACGCTGTGTTAATAAAGGTTTAAAAAATGTGTTTAGTTAGGAACCAGTTATTGAGAATCATTCAGAAGTGTATTCAGAAAATGCAAAAATGTCACGTTTACACCAATATTCACTTATCATCGACTTAGTATGTTGAAGTCTATTCACAGATATTGAGTATAGAGAACTCGATAGCACTATGTCGATCGTCTCTAAAAACAATGTTTTCACGATATTTTCTTTATAGCTGAAGAAAAAAAATTTCAGCAAGGAAGTTTTAGAATAAGTAAATTCAGTTAAAGTTTAGCTGAATCGAATGACATCACTTTTCAATAGATATACATGAATAATTCAGAAAGACTTTTCGACTAAATTATTGCAATCCTAAAAGTATCGTCACTCTCTACCTATAGCATCATTTCTTAATTCATTTGATACCACCTTGTACAAGCATTTACTAAATGATAAACTACATGCTTTTAAATGCTCAACAGCCAGATTATCTTTTCTTCTACTAGATAGCATTCATAGTTTTGTTCAACGTTTCTTTTATCATAACGCTCCTGTTCTTGATTTGATTGAAATACACTAAAGTCTAATATACTATAGTACACTGAACGTTCACGCAGTATACTGCGTGAACGCTCAGAAGCTCGTAGAAATATTCTTTCCAACCATTTAGCCTATTTTCATCGTTGTCACATGATTTCTCTCGTAACTTGGAAATCATATAAAACAAAATTGAGAGATTACAGTTTGACTCGAGAAGGGCTTCGTTAACTTTTGGTACAATTCCTGTTCAATAAAGTAGACGTATAAAAAAATGGCTCAAACACCATTTTAGCAGATTCATTAGATCTTGTTAGGTATCACGTTAAGATGCATCTAAGAAATACTACAAAACTTTTATATTTTTAGACAACACAATTTCCAGATGTACAATCCGAGGTAGTCCTTGAAAGAAATATACGAGATACAATTGCGCAAGATGATATCGAGCCTGACGATTTAGAATGCATAGCCTTCCTTCAATCCTTCATTCGAGAGTCAAAAAGATCAAATCAGTCTGGTGAATATACGTAGAATTAATGTCATATGAATGTCTTTGGTGTCTAGGAAACCATTTATGGATCTGATAATGTTTTGAGTCTGCGATCACTTCACTATATAAAAGAGTGTTTTCTTCTAAACTTTCAAATAAAGTGATTGTTTGACGAAGGAATAATGGATATCTGACTTTCATTTATACTTAAAAAAGCTCATAGTTATCAACAAATATTTATGGAAATTCACCTACAGGATGACAAAATTAAAATAGCTCTTCAAAAACAGCGTTTTTTGATATGGAAACTCTTATTTTTTTCACGTCATTTCGTTTATCTAAACCGTTCAGAAGGATATGTGAGACGCACGAAATCTTTTTGGATGTTTTAAAAACAATTTGTGTTATGTCTTTTGTCGTCGTTTTTAGTCTCATCATTTACAGAAATATCAGTCATATAGAATGGAAAATTTTAAATTGCTATCTTTAGCATGAAAATCGTTTTAATTCGGATCAAAATTCGTATATTTTTGAGAATAAAGTTTTTCAGTAAATACTTTTTGAGTATACTTCTCCCGTCTATATCTTATTAATTCTAGTGTTTAGTATGCTTATAACCGTTTTAGACTTAATTTAGAGACAACTGCCAGAACTACGACCAGAGCTACAACAACTACTAAGAAGACTATTATTACGTTAACCAAAAAGATTAAGCCATCTAAAGTTGGAAGACTCCGAGTCACTACGCAGCCAACAGCCATTCTTTCTCATGTGCCACATATTCAGCATCCAACATCTAAGAGTACTACACCAAAAGTAATCGTTTCTGGTTCAAAACATACAATTCCATTCAAACCGTATGAAGCAACCCTCCCAACTGCAACTAACATTTTTTTCTTGAATTATAGTTCGATATCGTTATCAGGAATACGACCAAGCAAGGGTTTATCTCCAGTAAATCCGCTTGATGATTGTTCAGATGAAAAGACTACAGAGTCCACTTATCCACCATTTATTGATCACGATTTGTTGACGAATTGTACTGACCATATTGCACTTATAAATAGTTCTTATGTGATGAAAGCTACTAGCAAATCTTTAAAGATAAATGCAAGCATAAATCCTGATAGTAAAGGACTTCATTTTCCCGCAGGGACGCATGAGATTAAACTAACAATGACCGTAGCAGCCGTTGTCATGAGAATTACAATACCAGGACCATCTANCACTTATCCACCATTTATTGATCACGATTTGTTGACGAATTGTACTGACCATATTGCACTTATAAATAGTTCTTATGTGATGAAAGCTACTAGCAAATCTTTAAAGATAAATGCAAGCATAAATCCTGATAGTAAAGGACTTCATTTTCCCGCAGGGACGCATGAGATTAAACTAACAATGACCGTAGCAGCCGTTGTCATGAGAATTACAATACCAGGACCATCTAATGTCGACCTAATTGCGATTGCTTTAACACACGCTTCCGGACATAAAATTTCAGTACAATCACCGCAACATATAAATCCAACTGTAACTGGACTTCCCTTGTTTGAGTCATCCGTAGTCATAATCCAACTACTGCATACGTTTGACTCAAAACAACCCAGACACGTAACGTTCAATATCGTAAGTATTTAGTTGATAACTACAAAAACAAAATCTTTTGTTGTTTATATTCCTTATTGTTTAGGCAATTTGTTTTAGAGTTCCACTACCACCAAGGCCTACACTGAAATTTGTAAGTAGAAAAATTTAACGCTAATAATATTGCTTTTTGTTTTCTCAAAAAATACGCGTTCATGTGCGTATACACACTTTAGTGAAAACACGTCCGTACGAAACGTTCCAACTATTTGTCCTAATAAAAAGTTTATTATCTGTTATTGCGATTAACTTTCATCATCTATTTATGCTTTACGTATTTTTATTGCAATATTGATCCTTTCATAGTGGCTAACTCGAGTATAAATAAAAATAAAATTCTTTTTGTAATATGTGAAGAGTCAAAACTTTTTGCAGTAATATGGCTCTCCAACTTCTAAAATATTTGCATGATACAGAGAATCTATTGCACCTTTCTCTTGTGCCTGTTCAGAACTATTAACAAAGGAGGCATTCTCTAAGTTGTGTTGTTTGGTAGTTGCGACTGGATATGGAGTGAACAAAAGACGTTTTCATTTCTGTTGAACCTTTTCATAAGAATTTTTATCGGTTTTTTTCAAAAATAATAAGTCATCTGATATAACGGATGATTCATCGAAAAAATTCCTTGTTTTGAGTTCAGACGATTTTTAACTATATGACACACCTGCCAAATGTCACGTGAGATGGTGCTACACTGCTCATCGTACCAGTCCTCAACCTGCTCTGTCTGACAAGGTCAAGGCTTTTGGGATAGTGTGCATAGTCTTCGGGATTCCGGTACCCAAACTTGGTAGAAACTGCAGATGGAAAAAAGCGGAAATTGAGCAATTTCTTAAGATGTTGTACGCTACGTGCCTATACTCATACGTTATACATATATCGTTCGTATAGTGAGTGTTTTTGGGTCTAAAATCACGCTAAATGCCGATATTTTATGTAAAGCTTTGCTTAGAAGTTTGTTTTCTAAGTTCTTTTCCTTTTATGTTTCAGCCACTTTACAGAACAGTGATGCTTCAGGCAAATACCATAGTTTAGGATATACTAAGAGAATGAATAATTAGCTGAAGTGATATTGCGATATATCCTAAAAATTTCAATCGTATATTATCAGGATTATTCTTTTACCGTTCAAAAGATATAAAAAGAACTATCCCAATTCTCGCGCCTTCACCGCCTTTTAAATACAAAAGGCATCGGCATTTATCGTGATTTATGACCTAATAGAAACTACATAGGTAACAGCTGATTGCTCTTTTAATTGTTGCAATCTCTTTGCTTGACTCGAGAAAAAATTGTTTGTTCCATTGAATAACAATCTAACTGGTGACTGGTATTGTTTTGTACGCTGCCATTTATAAAGTAAAGGCACATAAACATGTAAGAAAAACACTATCACGCTGTAGAACATACCGGCACTGTCGTATATAATGATTAATCATATCTTGTGTAATTTCGATTTTGAAAACTACTATCGAAACACTAAACAGCTTCAATATACATAATAAAGAATGCGAAGAAAAAGAGTTCTCATCCCTCGATCGAAGTCGATACGATTGATGAAGCAATGATCTCAAGAACTGAAAAATCAAATATTCATCCACATCTTAGTCGACTGTAAATTTCTTTGCCTTCGCACAGCGTTTATAAAATATACTAGCTTTATGTTAAGTTGTTCTGTTGTAAACGTGGTAAAAATATGTTAGCAGTTGAACGTTATAAAGTCACAAATGCAGCAGCAAAAAAGGACAAATAGAAAAGCCGCCTGATCTGCAATGGACTTAGTTAGATAGAGAATGCTGTAGAAGTACTGCGTACGCCGCTCATCCCAGGCTCGCCCACACCTATTTCAACAGAACGAGTTTGTATTGTGTTTCTTTGGATAGACAAATGAAAGATTTACAGAAACACAGAATGAAGGCTGTTCTTCATTTCAAAATTCTTTAATAAGTATAGCTTTAATGAAGTTTTAGCTCTCTTTAGAATCCAACATCGAAATCAACAGCTGTAAGTATTGAAAGAATAATAAACTACGGTGATTGTAAAAAAGTTTTGTTTCTATATTAAAATATTAGACTTTTTATGCAATAAAAATAACATATTCGGAGTCAGCGTTGAAAACTGAGCGGAATGAAATACCTTTTTATCCTATCTGGCCATCTTTGTTTTTTCGAATTTTCATGTCCAAAAACTACTGCGATTTTCACCAAACAATGAAAATCAACGAACATTTTTGAAATCTATATCACTCTACTCAGAGAAACCTATCATTTCAACGCTGACTCCGAAAATGTTATTTTTATTGCATGAACGATGTGTCCTAATGAAGAAAATTGAAACGTACAGGCAGAATTCGGACTTTTTTGCCCTTTGCTACACTAATGATGACTTTTCTCAGCGGGGAAATGAAAGTTTCTTAATTTATGCATACTTTTGTTCATTATCGGATGGTGGTTCGAATGATGCATGATAGTTGCGGATAGCTCTTGAAACAAAAGACTACATAGGTTTGGGAGAACAAGGTGTCAGAATGTCCCTGGACGAACTTAGTCCGTCCTGTTCGCAGACATCAGAACGATGCACTAGTGTCAAATCTGTAAGGATATACTCACTTTTTGATGCTGAACCCGAGTGAGATAGTTTCGAAAAATTAGAATGAACGGAAAATGGTCAAATCTTGACCTTTCTCTATAACGCTCACTTTTTCCGACTCTTGCGGTATTTTGAAGTTTTCTCCCTCCCCTCAAAAAAAGTTGATGAAAACTCGATAAAAATGCGATATTCAGAATCAGCTCGACGAGCTCTATCCAACTATGTATGTTTGAAGGAAATCTATTTTTTGCTTACCTTTCGAATTTGGAGTACCTTAACTAAACTCTGATATAACTAAGGATTGGTAGTGACTTATAATTCGCTCGGATATTTTTTAGATACAATCGATGTAATTGCTTCGTGCTACTCCAGTATTACACTTTAATGCAATTTGATTAAAAGCTTCTTAAACTAAAGATTCATATTCCTCTAATTTGTTAAAAGAATCAAACTTATTAAATGACTCTGCATCTGAGTATACCGTGAGGCGCACAGAAAAAACGCTAGATACTTCTGTTATATATTTATTTTGATAAACTAGGTCCCAGAATGATTCGCTCAATTATACAATAAAGTTACTCCCTTTTCTCTTAGAACTATACATGAATGCTAATAATGCCAAACCGTGTCGTTTTTAGACTATTGCAACGCCTACGTCATTGGTGATCGGAACTACAACTATGAAATGTAACTATAGCATACCTATAATTGGTGGAACCTACATCGAGAGTGTATCCACCGTGGACAATTATCGCAATGATAAAATTACAACACCAGAGATCAACTATGGAGGACCGGTTAGTCTCACATATTTTCGTAAGAGAAATAGTGTATTCCACAAAAACTTTGATGTACTCATTTCTATTTGAGTAGGGACTAACTTTTATTTTCCCAAAGCCAACAATTATTCTTATTTTCAAAAAACCAATTACAGTCCAGTCGGTCAATATACCTGCTCCCCCTAGTAATGTGAATGGATTCAGTATGACATTGACTGTTGCTCCAATCATGGGCGATAGCTACAGTTTACTTATAAATGTTAAGAACAGACCAACAAACATTCCTAACTACCCTGTATCCAAAATTCTCCTCAGATTACATAATACAACAGATCTACAAGCTCCAAGATCAGTTACTATTAACATAGTAAGAAATATTGTTTCATATCCCTATAACAACTACTACGGGACCCTCTCTATAAATTAACATTATCTATATGAAATACATATAAAAAAATTCAGCTGTTTTTTGCAAAAGTTTCCCCATTTAATTGTCTACAAAATGGTATGTATATAGGAGATGATCCTGAGAGTTGAGATGCCGTCGTAATTGAACCGAAATCGAAATGTCCCAAAACTTTCAATGTTCCAAGAAACGAAAAACCGCATTTTCTTCATATGCGTTGTTTATATATCTTCCTTACTAATAAAGCTAGAGATTCAAAAATCTACAGTAATAATCATCTAGTTGTAAGAGATTAAATGTTAAATGTTTGGGCTTTTTTGGATTGACATTAAGAAAGAAAGCATTTTTTGTCCAGAGCGCCCGAAACTTATTGACCATCCTTAGGTTGCGGCGTTTCGATTGTTTTGATGGAAGTGACATTAGACATTTCGTATGTAAATCAAATAGACAAAACATTTCTCAAAATGACACAAGAATGAGCCTGATTCATTCATTTGTGAATAAGCACCGTTCATTTTACAAACGGCTCCAAAATGCAGAAAAAACTGAAAAAACATTCACAGGGCTTTTACAAAAAGCATTATTGAAAACACGGAAATAACGACAGAAAATTAGCATTATAGCCGTTCGATAGAGAATTCCAAGGGTTACATTTTTGCCTATCCGATGTGAGCACAACGCATACATTCAAGCTTATACTAGCGAAATACATTCTTCGTTTTTGGGGCATTGAAAGTTTTGGGACATTTGGATTTCGGTTCAATTACGACGGCATCTCAACTCTCAGGATCATCTCCTATATACCATTTTGTAGAGAATTAAATGGAGAAACTTTTGTAAAAAACAGCTGAATCGTATTATATGTATTTCATATAGATAATGTTAAGTTACAGAGAGGGTCCAAAACTTATGGCTCACCCTTTATTGGGTCTAGATTTGCGATCTTTATGCAAGTTAATGAGACTTTTTCAAATTTTGGACTTTTGTCGTCGACCATTAATTTGAAAAGTAAAATATCAAAAATCCGATTTTATTAGCCTCTAGCCACATGTGTTTTCGTCAACTTAAAATCAGTTCGAGCTCTCCACAACGTTTCGTTACTGAGAAATCGTGCAGCTACGAATAGCCCGATTTTGGTCACTGTTATGGCGGCATTCCACGAACAATGGTAGATGCAGCCAAACAAACAATTTCGCCACCATACTTTCACGAGATCAGCATCCCCTAAAAGTTTGGTCAAGGTCGGACTTATACTTTCAGAGATAGCTTTCTAAAGGGGTAGGAGGGGCTTAAGTAGTCCAAAACTGTTATTTAAATGAACAAAGAATATCTCAGGAGAGCTGAATTTTGTTATATTGCTTAGTGCGTAGAGTATTGAGCAACGGGGAAACAGCAGATTTTGTGACTTTTGTAATCTGAGCTCCGTTTCACAGGCAATCAATTTTTTTCAAATTTTCTTGTACTCCTGGAGACTTCTTGGTATTCTTTGTGACTTCGCTGATCCCGAAGAATTTTCCTGACTGTTTTTGAATTTTCTCGCGTTTTTTGCGCTTAGCCCCATTTTCAGTCATTCTTACAGATTTTTGGGACTTCATCGGATTCTAATCCCTTTTTCCCATTTTTTCTTATACTCCCAAGGATTCCTCCAGTTTCTCGAACTGTGGGACGTTTATATAGGATTCTCCAGGCGTCTGTAGGTCTGAAAGTCCACAGCTGCTTGGAATTCTGCTGTTTTTCCCTTGGTGTTGAGCTATACAGCACATACCCATTGATGAAAAATGTTTCCTGATACACATAACATGAGCATTGAGATTTCGAAAACTAATCACACCGGTTATTTTTTGTTAAATTACTTCATGGAGCAAGAGCTAAGATATGGTGACAAAAGGATTTTTAGTGTTTATCATTTCTAGAGTTCGTTAAATAACGTTCTAATTTCTTGTTTGCCACCGTCTTTGATAAAACATGCAATCTTACAGAAAACGTGTTAAGTCTTTTTTTTCTACATTTTAGTCTGTATGTGACAACCCAACGCAACCAAAAATCGTACAATCGGGATTTGTAAGCAAGTCAGTCCTTCTTTTATCATAAATTGATAGAATAGACCTTTTGTGTGCTATTTGTAATCGTTGTACGATACAGTATAACGCGTGAGGCACCGCTCGATCAGTGCCACAGAAACTTGCTATTTTTGTAAAATATCACTTTTAATTGTGTTAGATAATTCACGTGTCATTGCTACTCTCATGTGTGGTTATGAATATTCATTCTAGAAACCGTTTCGTTCAAAAGATAAAAATGAAACGTTTTCAACAATACAAACCGTAGCGGACATGGACCATGATGCGTTAGATGAAGCTGATCATGATTGTGAAGATCACATTATACTTTTCGGCGGGAAATATGTTAAAAATATAACTACACCATTAGAATCTAATATAATACTCGGAGATGCCATAAATCTAGGATCTTCTGGTCTGACGTTCGACCACAATAGAACACACATAATTAAAATTGAATTGATCGAAGTCCTCCACATACAATATGTTGAAATCCCTAGGCCAAGTAACGTCAATCGCTTTGCTATTAATTTACGAGATCCAAAAGGTTACGTAACTACATTTATTTCAAAGCAAGCCGAAGCTCCAAATATACCTAGTTTTCCAGAGTTTGACACAATTGTGATTTATATATATGTACTTAGTACAGTCAATTCGGAGCCTTCTTCTTACATCACATTAAACATTGTAAGTCGTACATTTAGCCTTTTTTTTTAACCAGTTTAACCAGTTTTTAGCTGGTATTTTAATGTGCTTGTCCGTACACTTTAGGGTATATGCAAATCTAGCACAACTACCTTGACGGTGCGTATTTTTTAATTCAGAGCGTGTTATGGCAGTGCAACTGAACACATGGGACAATATTTGTTAAGTAGGGCAACGATTTATTATCAAGTTCACTGTGATCATTGCAGCTTATATTTTTTATCGCTATATTATGTTTTAGTTCATGTGATTTTTCGACCTTACATCGGTCATTTTCAAACGCAACTGACAGCAAACGCTAAGAGAACGATTGAATATACAAAATTGAGCGAAACGTCCACGTCCTTCCTCGAGCAAAGCACGAGGACTGATGCTCTTTAGTATAATAAATACTTGTTCAAATTGTTGTTGCTCGATTCGCAGACATTGGTGGTATGTTCTGTCTGTCACCGATTACACGTTTAATTAATCTTAAATCAAGCCCATTAGGGTAAACATATAATGGAACACTGCGATCTGTTCAAGGGGGAAACAGCTGATTTTGCGATTTTTCTCATTTTCACCGATTTTAACTGATTTTCATCAATTGAAAAGCCACCCGAAATGACTGGAAGTCATTGAAAATTACAGAGGATCACTGAAAATCAATTGATTTTGGGCTGATTCCAATCAGCTGCTTCCTCTTGAGTCTGTTCCATTTAACGCTGGTGCTGTTGTTCTAATGAGCAGGATTCTTTGACGAGCAGTTTATATTTATGTTGTTCAGCCAACAGTATTCTGAAATCATCAAGTGTGATTATGTGTCCAGTTGCTTTGTGATGTTTTGCAATTGCCGATTTCGGTATACTACCAATAATTTGACCATTGAACTAGCTGAATATGGTGAGTTAGTATGAGTGTGGCTAGTGATGCTTTCAAGGTCAATGATAGGCATACTCCACTGTTTTGGTGAGAGTAAAAAATGAATAACATTAAAATAAAATAAAATATTTAACGGTAAAATCTATGACCAAATCGATGGTGTTAACAAAGATTGCTCCTCTTGCCCCTTTATTGGCTGAAATATTTATGTTAGATTTTAAAAAACAACATAGAGACACTACAACTAAAACTGATCGTATGACACGTTCTCGAATGGGAAAATTACCTATCATTGACCTTGGAAGCATCACTAGCCATAGCAGCAATCTTTGTTAACACCATCGATTTGGTCATAGATTTTACCGTTAAATATTTTATTTTATTTTAATGTTATTCATTTTTTACTCTCACC